CTCCAGTGCCACAGCATAATCGCCTGCTCTGCCTGGCACTTTGTACAAGCAGCCATTTGTTAGAAAAATAGATTTCATTAGTGATTTTTGAGCTCAGAGTGCCCTTGTAGAGTCTGATAGAACATGCAGAAGCTGAGCTTCTGTCTCCTGGCTGTAGCATTTTGCATTTTACAAGTGGTGACATAATAGAACAATAAAAACATCTAATTTTCACTTCTTGTTTGGTTGGTTTCACTTGACATAATTTATTTGGTTTTGGGTTTTTTTTTTCCCCATGTAGATTTGCATTCAGTGATGTTGCAACATTTATTTCCTTTTCAGTTAGAAAAAAATTGAATTGCATAAATAAAACTTTTTTTTCTTTTACCCAGATTTATCTTTCCCCGAATAGGTGTGTAAGTTAAAAGTATTATCTTTCCTGAGATGAAGTAAATCTGGGTCTGTGGGAACCACAGGAAATGTGTTCCTCAGTATTGCTGGTGTTGGAATGCTGTATAGAGCCAGGCTCTCCATAGAGCCCTACATTGTCACTACACTGATTTGAAGAACAGCCCTGTGACACTTTAGTGAGTATTTGTGGATAGAACAGATGTGGAAGACTAGCCTACTGTACAGGTAGGAAGCACTTTTAATCAGTTTGATTCTTTTCAGAGATACAGGGATGTGCTCCTGGGGAAAATTGTCTTTTGAAAGCAGTAAGGGATATTATTAAGGGCTTTCAGTGCCCTGGCTCGTGTCACTTTATCTTCTTAAATGAGCAAAAACAGGATGAAAGAATTCTGCAGTTACACAAATAGGTAACCTCAGATTTGTGATTTTGATCCCCCCCCTCCTCTTTTCCTTTGCCTGGTGTCAGGTCTTTCCTGTTGCACAGTATCAGCTCCTCAACAGAGATTAGGCCTTTGGGTTTTTTTGTTTTGTAGGAAGAAAAAAGAAAACACTCTGCACAAGTATTTTAATTCTCTGTGACATACTAAACATGAAGAATTGCATTATCCTGGCTGGTTGGTAGCAGCAAGCTGGTTTGCCACCAAATTTATTGAGATTGAACAGTCTTCCAGCAGCAAGAGATGAAAGCTCAGTGAGTTCTGTATGTTTTTTTTTCTGTTGTAGAAGTATTAAAGGGACATGTAGTTATATAGCTCGTCTGAAAATCTGAGTGGTTGGTAAGTGTTAAATTAAGTGGGAAGCAGGCAGTTACATAATAGCCATGTTTTACAAATGGGGCAAATACCAGTTCAGAAAGGTTGGCTGTGCTAGACCATGTAGCATCATTAACAGAAAGAGAAATAACAAGTTACAGCCTAAGTTCCTTGAACTTATCTCTGTATTATGGGTTTCGGGCACTTTAGTCTGTTTGGTTATAAGAGCAGAGGTTATTAAGTGCACGCTGCTTAAATAATTAACTGTGAGGTAACTCTGCTAGTTTTCTCACTGTGCTTACAATCTGTGCTTCTATGTCAGTGCATATTAACTTGAGTTGTATTAGGCCAGATTTTTTTTAAATCAGATTATAAAACTGTGAAATACAAAATTATTATGATCAGTAATGGTATTCAGCATTGAATTGTCCTTAATAAAAAGTGTTTGGATTTGAACTTCTAAATTTGTTTCATCAGTTTGAAGATCCTGGTCTTTTTAAATAGGCAGGCTTTTATCAGAAAGTTATAGGCAAGGACTTAAGAATATTGGATCAGCTCAGAATTGAGTACACCAACATGTTGGCTCGTGCTTTTGTCTTGGCTCTAGTCAGAAATACTTCATGTTCTACTTCACAGTCTGTGTCTTTGGTCAGCATTGCCCAACTGTTCACCCATTTCATCAGCACATTGAGCCATTTAAGGGAGCAGCTGATTTTGAAATTGGAAAAGAACTGTCAGTGTAAAAATAAATTCATGTTTCACTTTTCTTTTTAAGGAAGTTGCTATGCAGCACTACTAATGAATAAATAAATTTTATCTTACCTGCATGGTCTCTCAGAAGCACTGTGTAGAAGTTAAGATACAGTACAAAACCTGTGTTTACCTTACTTGTTGTTACTTGATAACACTAATAGAGCACTTCATATGCAAAACCCTTGGGGTAGAGATTTGCAAACTTCTGGTATTTGTTGCCAAGTTTATTCTTTACAAAGCATTCTCACCCATTGCTGGGAGTACCACACCTGAGTCTGTACCAGTCCTTTTCCATTTTGTGCTGTAGGGCAGCTTTCTAACATAACCAGACTTAAACTTTTCATTTGGTTTATTCATATGGCTTCTTGGTGTACCACTTGAAGGCACTTGCCCTTGTTAATATTAACACTTTGTCAGATAGACTTTAATGAAAGCTTAGGGCTATTACACATTATTGATCACGTTTATTTAAAATAGATGGCATGACCTGGAACACTTGCAGAGTTTGGTCAAGTTGGCTAAAGAACCCTTGTTTTGGGAGGGGATTTGCATTACTGTCTGTAGGGAGATGATTTGTATTTTCATGCCAGGGTCATCTCTGGTGGAGTTTGGGTTGTGCCTTGGCGGGGTGCAGTATGCAGGCTGGAAACTTGGGAAGAAAATCCCACTGTGTCTGCACGGTAAGAGTGGTGGGGGTTTGTTACAGACAGATGGAGACCTCTGGGGAACAAGTTTAACAAATACACTGTTAAAAAAGATTCTTGGGGCACCTCAAGTGGGAGATACACATTGGGTAGAGGAATTCCCAAGAGCACAACAGGAGTGGAGACTCCCAAGAGTCATTATTTCCAAAGAAATTTTGTGACTAAGGAGGATTTAATTTCTCTGAGGGTACTTCAATTTGTATCTGAAACATGACTGTTCTCTTTTCATACTAAATATACCTCAAATATGTACTTTTATTTTTTTTTAATCAAACCAGTTAGTAGTAATGATCAGTTACAATATTTGTTTATGCACTTTTTAGCCTTTGTGTACAGCTTTCACACTTGCCTCCAATGTATTTATTACTTGCATGCAGTGTTTTCTTTGTTTCTGGTTTGGTGCTTAAGCCCTTAGTGTGAGCCCCAGCTAGACTGTAAAATCTCCTTCAGCAGCTTGCTTATGCTTGTGGCATTAACCTTTCTGCAGTGAGCTGTGATGTTTATTTATAAAATTCCAGTTTTCCACTTACAAATAGAATATTATTAAGAGAGTCTTCTTTTTGCCAATTAGGTCAAAGTCCTAAAATTTTAAGACCTAAACCACATGGTTTAGAGCGAACTGATTCACAAACCATAGGTGACTTTACTACAAGAAGAAAGGGTATGTACTTTAGCACTATAAGTATATTATAAAAATAAATGAAGCAAAAATTTTAAAAATTGTTATTTTAGAATAATTCTGGCATATTCTTTTCTGCTATAATCTAAGGTGATGGATGCATTTTCCATGCCAAGCAATCAGTTTCCTGTATAAAGAATTAAAGATTTTCTGGCTTGAACAGTGTGTGAAAATTTTTCCTTGATATTAACATGAATGTTCTGATCTCTTAAGTTGTGGCTGTTCATATTTTGTCTGTTTATTTAAAAGCAAGTACATAATAACTTGTAAATTGTACATAGTAACTTGTAAGTTACTTGAAACTTTTGTTAGGCGATAACCTGAAATCACAGTTCACTTAGGTATCGAAGCAAAATACCGATTTTCTGATCATACACTAGTACAGACATCTATTTATGCACCTTAAAGAGGATTGCAATTAATTTGATGGGCTTTATTGAAGATGCTGAGTTGGTGCCTTACATAGTCACAAGAAGTAGAGAAAATAATGAGCAACATTAAAAATCTCAGAGAAATATCCCTGATTACCTTTGGGTTTTGAAGTCCATTGCAACAGGATGAAATACTTTGGCTGTTCTTGGTGGGCTTTGGACGAAGTCTTGGCGCTGTCTGCTGCAGCAGCACCTTGCCCACTGTTTATTCCTGCCAGGTAGTCTCAGACCTTTACAGAAAACTTGAACCAAGCTGATCAATTTTTGTGTCAGTTGTGCTTTAGTATCATCTTGCCTATGTCTTGTTCAGTTCTGTTACTACACTGATGCCTGACACTTAATCTTAGTGAACCTGCCAAGAGGCAGAAAACTCATTGTGGAAGGGAGCACAAGAAGAGAAAGGGCTGTTTTTATGATGAAATTGCATTTTGTTTTCTAAAAACAGTTTTAGGGAGGATAAAGTTGACAGCAGTTTTGCTCTGTGATATTTTTTTCCACAAGCCTTTTTATACTTTTTTTCTAATGTTTAGGTGGTGTGAGACATATAAGCTGGAGGGAGGGATAATGTGTTTCTTGCTAATAGCCTACTCATGGTTCTATTCTGAAAATGAAATTTAAAAATGGCACTTTTTTGAGAACAGTGTTATCTGTTATGAGTGGCACAAGCTGTCATGTGTGGCATATTGCTCTGCTCAACTGTGGATGATCTCTGAAGCAAGCCAGGCTCCTCCTGCTGTTGGTTCATTTCTGACTTTTGCAGACTTAGTCTTAGCTGCATGTTCTGCCCACTCGTGGAGCTATGAAACCTCATCAGTAAGGGCACATGTACACAGTGAGGGCAGAGTTTGCATATTAGCAGTTGGCCCTGAACCAAGAAAAGTCCCCAGAGTTGGCTCTGCTGAAAGAGCCCATCAGCCCTGCCCTGGGCTTGCCAGCTCAACAATTCAAGAAGGCAGAATGAGGACAGAATACGATGCTGCCACTTTCAAGATCTCTTTTCAAAGCATAATTACTGCCTACAAGTATATGCTGAAAAATTCTGAAGTTGCAGTGGGTTTTTTTAATTTTATACTTTAATTTTTTAATTGATGTTTCCTCTCATTACCTGAAAAGATTAAAAATGTAGGTTAATATATCATGTCTTTCTGAGAATGGAAGTGTCTCCCTTTCCTTATTAGTATTTACTATTTGAAAGATATAGTTTTTTTCTGTATTTAGTCTGTGAAAAGCTATTAAATTTAAGTTTGTTTAGGAAAGTTCTGTGCTTTACAATTGTCTGTTTCTTACACAGCAAAACCAGCTCCACTGGAAATAAAACCTCTGCCTGAGTGGGAAGAATTACAAGCTCCAGTTAGATCTCCTATCACCAGAAGCTTTGCACGAGAGTAAGTTTCTTGGCTTTTCCTCATTCAGAGTAATCATTTTGGTGACTGGAGTGTTAATAAGTGCGTGCACATCTGTATCATATTGTTAGCTTGCTTGTAGCTTGAAGTTTCCCGTGGAAGAGTGTGAGTCTGTGTGTGTATCTGTGTATTGAAATAAAGTGTGTCCGTGTGAAGTTTTGTTTTGTGATATTAAATATAAGGGACTGTGTATAACCAAAAAATGTGACACTCTAGTAAACTTGAATGAAAATTTCAGCTCTAATATGCTTATTTTTGTTGTTTACCAGGAGGTTTAAGACATTGCAGATGTATTGTTTGTAAAATAATTCCTGGTAATTAGCTCCTCCAGGTTTCCCGTGTCTCCCAGACCGGATTCAGTTCATAGCACAACTTCCAGCAGTGACTCGCACGACAGTGAAGAGAATTATGTATCCATGAACCCAAATCAGTCCACTGAAGACCCAGTATGTAAAATCTACGTCTTAACTACTCTCTTCCTGTGCAGTCCTTACTTTTAAATCATGCAAACATAGATCCTTCACTCAACATCACTCCCTTTATACTTCTAGATCAACAGAATGATAAAAAACTCTCCATAGCATAGCTGTAATTTTGGTAGGATTTCACTGAAGAAGTTAAGAGCATAAAGAAAATGGTTGATATACTTATCTGTTATATAAAACAGTATACAACATTACTTTTTTTTACCTCTTTCCTAGAATCTGTCCCCTCTTTGTAATGTTTGTCCTTGGGCTATGCACCAGTTCAGTATGACATGAAGGGAAATAAACTGTCCTAGGACCTCTGAGACATGCTTAAAAAACTGTATTAAAGGGACATCTTCCAGGAAATGTAGAAGGAACAGGGGAAAAAAACGATTGATACTTGTATACATTCTGTGAAAATTGAACCATGTGTATTTTATTAGGTGTCTTTCAAAGAAGAAGATAGAAGGAGTCTTTGTGTTATTGAATGTCTGTATTTTTTCCCCTTTGGGGGAGAATTTTCTCAGATAAGGAAGATTCAGATACTCAGCATGGAGTGCAGCCAGTTAGAAAAAGTTAATGATCACACTGTGGTTTTTCTTTGGTGAGGGGAAGGAGAGAGAGAAAAAGAAGACTCAATAACAGTAGTTTCAAGGAAGACAATAGCAGTTGACCTAGGCCTAAACTAAAATGTGGTTTAGAATACGCATAAAACACTGGAGGAAACCTGTATCTTGAGCTCAGCTTTTCGTCTAGTGTAGAATCATGGAATGGTTTGGATTGAAAGGGACCTTATAGATCATGTTGTTCTAACCTCCCATGCCGTGGGCAGGGACAGTCTACTAGACTGGGTTGTTCGAAGCCCCATCCAGTCAGTTCAGTGTACTCATATGTTTGGGTTCTTAGTAGGGGATACAGCAGTATTTTTCATCTTGAAATAATTTATGTACGACCTTCTTTGGGGAGGGCCTGTCTAGCACCGTTTTTGTTCTGTTTGTGTGTCTGCTTTCTTATATAGCATGTGTTGGCCCATCTCACTGCCCCTGAACTTTCCTCTCACAACGCTGTTCACTTTCCTGTTCCCTGCCACTCTGGATCCCTTCCCAGTCTCCTCCAGTGTCCCTGCCCCACAGCTCATCACTGCTGCCCCTGGATGCCGCATCCCGGTCCCCCCTCATGCCATTCCCTGTGGGAGCTGGTGGGGTGCAGGCTCCAGAGCCTGCGGAGCGCCCCAAGCTGTGCCTTGTGCCGTGCCTGTTGTGCTTCTCAGGGGAAAAGCACCAAGCAGGGGGGAACTGCTGATGCTAAATCTTAGCTCCTCACCTGCAGGGCCATTGGTAAGTAATGGGTGATTTCCCATTTCACAGGTGCAAGAAACATCCCATATTACACCAGCAATTAGCCCCAACCGTGCCCACAGTTCTCCCTGCACAGAATCACAGTTCAGCCTGGGTGTTTCTGTTGATTCTTAAGGCTGTTCCAGGGCTTAACTTCTATACCAAGATGGTACAGTTAAAGCTCCAGCTCATTAATATCTTCTGTTTACTTATACCAGTCCTATTTTAAGGTTATTCTACAGATTTCGTTTCTGTTTCATTTATGTGTATTTAAAGTTTGTTTCCTAATGCATATGTTCTGCCTGCTTAGTTTGTTTGAAATAACATATTTTTTTTTGTTTAATGAGTAACAGCTTTTTAAATTTATGCTAGAAACATTGATACAGAATCTGATTTTTGTCTCTTTAATACACAGAAAATTGTTCTGAGAATTTGAGCAACGAAAATGAACTTCATATGTTGGTGTTTGTCCTAGTTGCCACTTAATGTTAAATGAGTTGGATAGTAGAGATATAATGGATAACTTCAATTTCAAAAGCCCAGCCCATTTGGCTTTAGCCCATAACATATTTTATTTCCTAAAGAACCAGAACATTTCTGGATATCTCATGGCCTTTGTTTTAAAATTTGACTTTTTGAGAATTTTGACTTGTTTCAACTCTATCTTAGCAAAGAATCCGTATTTCTTAATCTTTTTCTATCATCAGCTTTGAAACATCTTGTTTGAACATGTCATACTTATGTTTTATTTAATAAAATCGGCAATATTCTGCTTTTTCTTTCAAGTTGCTCTCAGCCTTACCCTTCTGTCTTTCCTTCTGCCTTCCTCTTCATTTTTTGCTGACTGCTGCCCTCTGTCTTCCTGTTTTTTCTTTATCTTTTAGAGAAGAGTCCTTCTATTGTACTGTTCCTATAACACCTGTTAAGAGGGAGGGATCAGGCTGGGAGAGGACAGAGGAGGTGAGGTTGTAAAAGTCTGGGCTAATTGAAATTTAGATATATATAATGCAACTTGAGTTCAGGCAGCCCTACACATATTTTCCAAAGTTTTAATATTTTAATCTTGTCAACTGAACAATACTCTTTGATTTTCTCCTTACTCATGATGAATTTTGAATGAAATGTAAAAGTTTCATTTTTAGCTTTGCAACTACTGTAAGGCAGAAATTATTATAGGTATTTTACAAAAATTGAGGGAAAAAGAAAAGTTTGTGCTTAAGTAATACTGATTTTGAGATATAATAACTGCATTTAAAAAGAACAAAACATGATCTGTTATTATTTCGTGATATGAAGGGGACATTAAGTGGAAAGCATAGATGTGGAAAGCACAGATGGCAACCTTAAATTTGGGGGGGGGTGTTTTTTGGGTTTTTTCCTCCCATTGGGTTTTGACTGTGTCCCATTTTTGACATAGAATGTATCCTCTTGCCATACAGGGTCAATGAAATTTTCGTGATTTAAGTGATTGCAAGAGTCTCAGTCATTTCCTTAACCATTTACATTTTGGCAGTTTATAGTAAGCATATTTGATAATGTGGACCACTAGTTTGTACATTTGCAGCTAAGGTTGTTTATATTATGATTTCAGAATTTGTTTGGAAGCAACAGTCTTGATGGAGGAAGCAGCCCTATGGTAAAACCTAAAGGAGATAAACAAGTGGAATATTTAGATCTGGACCTAGATTCAGGAAAGTCTACCCCACCTCGTAAGGTAAGCAGATGTTCAGCTCTTGCTTTTCTGCCATCAGGAGTTGAAAATTGCTTCCAGTTAGATCTCTTAATGGTCATTTCTCAAATGATTAGTGGAGAGTCAGTGTTGGACCTTTCAGAGAAACCAGTGCTTGTTCTGTGTTTATTTGGGACACCTACTTGCTTTTTTGTTGTTAATTTACTTGAACATGTTTCTCACTGTTCCCAGAAAAAGAACAGTGGTTCAGGCAGCAGCGTGGCAGACGAGAGGGTTGATTACGTTGTGGTGGACCAGCAGAAAACGCTGGCCCTGAAGAGCACGCGGGAGGCATGGACTGATGGCAGACAGTCTACAGAGTCTGAGACTCCCACAAAAAGTGTGAAGTGAAAACACTGCTTTGTCTTTGAAGAATGGAAAGAAGTGAATTTTGAAGAATCACAGAACCACAATGGCAGTGTTGTTCAGCTGTACAGTACCTGATTCCCTGGGTTGGGAATCAGTTCCTCACCGAATAGGTTGGAAGCCAAAAAACACTTTGAATATATCAAAGGAACTTTAAGACATGAATTGGCTCTGTGGTGTCTGGAAAAATCACAGCCTGTAAATAACCTGTAAAATAATATTACTTAGGTTTCAGAAAACCTTTTATTCTGTAGTTAAAACATTTGTAGTATTACTGTGTTTATGCACTTTTTCAGTTACAATGTTGGGTCAGGTATTCACAGTTAGTGTACCTTAATGTCTAATTCATCTGGAGAATTTTTTTTTCCTTACACTACTATTCCTCACAATTTTAGGTTAATTAAGCTACATGTAGGTATGGAAATTAATATTTGAACTTCATTTTAACAACTCAGAATTGACTTTGCAGAAATACTTTCACAATTGAATCATCTACTTGAAATGCCAAGAGACAACCATTAGTTACATACTTGTTTATATTTAATACATGCAAGATTATTTGGAAGTCTACAGACTACCTTCCTAACAAAAAATTGCTGTGAGTTAATAATAATGAACTGTACTGGGTTTAGACCTAAAATCCTGGCTTATATGTTAGTTGTTAGTGGTGGAACTTCTATTGTATTTTATTAATGACAGTGTTCTGTGTTCAGTGGGTGAAGATTCTGCGGGTGGGATCTTACACTTTCAAAGACTGAATAATTAAATGTCAAGTAAGCCAGCAAACCACTGATGGCATGTAGTAATATTGTGATCTCACACTTATTAACAAGAAATGACCTTTATATTATTTACAGAAGGTAGAGTATATAAATCAGGTACGTACCAAGCACTGTTGTGCTAATACACTGATCAGGTTTAGACAATGAGTTTTAGTTTTGTACTGTTTAGAAGTTCTAATGTCAGTTTTCAGTTCAAGATTAATGGGACAGTTTGACATTCACTTTTTGTAGTACTAGCAAAATACTGTGATTTTGAATTAGACATTAACTCAAATGGAAATACTATGTTTTAACACCATAGTGCCCTTCTTATGAGCTCTACATTACTTTAATCTCCTGCTTGGCCTTATATTTAAATCCCTATGCAACTGATATTTTATATCTCTGTTTTTAAAAATTAGATAATATACCTAAATGATCCCCTTGTAAACCACTTGTTGCTCTTTCCTGGTACAGGATTTTAAACTCTGTATACTGTGATCCTTTATTTTACTATGCCAGTTACAAATAATAATCTGCCTTGGTTTAGAAACATTTTTTTGTTACTTGGAAGAAGATAGAGTTCTTTAAATACATGAATGAGTTAGGTCTAGATAGAAAACTTACTAACACTTTTATTTTATACAAATGCCCTCAATTAAGTGGTTGGTTTCATTTTCCTGCCCAATTGGGTTTTTTTTGTCCAGATCATTTAAAAGTTGAGCTTAAAGCTGCATTGTTTTCAGGAATGTTGGCCTTCGTACTGTGCCTAATCTACCATTGGTTGTTTCTCTCCCCTCACAGCCACAATCTACCGTATGTAAATTATCTTATTCTTGACAAAGGATCTTTTTAAATTAGTAATATTTTGATGCTTTGAATGTTCATTTTAAAAAAGAAACTAAACACAGTGCATTTTGAGGTGAATTTTAAATAAATCAAGTTGTTCTGTTTTGGTGTGTAAACTCTGTCCTGCAAAGCAGCAAACGGATGCCAGTGTGTCTGGGAAGGTGTCTGGATACCAGCCATGTTTTTCAGAATTGTAGATGTACAGCTAGAACAATTTTTAACTTGGATCTCTGATTTAAAACCCTGTGCCGAGAAGCCAAATAATGTGAATTCCCACTCTTCTGGGTGCCAGGAAAATATCAGTCTCCTATGGCAGCCTCTCTTGCTGAGCTAGTGATAGGAGATGGGTTTGCTCTAAGTTTGCTGATATCAGTCTTTGATTTACAGATAACACTTACTCTTTCTTCATTTAAAATTCAGCAGGATTCACAACATTATTTGTTATTATGATTGAGAATCCACTCTTAATTTCTAGGCTTTCCCCCTTTCTTTTGTTAAGGAAAACACGAGTTTCCACACTGTACAGACAGTGTAACATTTTCTAAGTATCAGTCTACAATTTCTCTTTAATTAGATTTCTAACCAGTTTTCACCTCCATATTCTAGTATTACATTTTCCATACTTACATGCTGTCCATGGTATGTTCATAGGTGTGATATTAACTTTTGATGATACATCTCATTTTCACCAGTGAAGCTACAGGGGCTTCACAGTGCAGATCTGAGTTCTTGGATGGTCTAAGGATGTGAATATAAAATGGAAAATGTGACTCCTAAACTTCTAGGTGATAGAAAGCAAGTGAAACTGATATCAGCCCTGTGTCACTTCCAGTTACTAGTTTTGTGAGGACACTCTAGTTGGAGGCAAGCTGGTGGAAAACTCAAGTACATAGAGGTGCAGAAGTAGCTTGTCAATGTTGCTTGTTAAGTGTTCTTTTTTCAAATAGGTAAGTTTTCTCTTGTTTCGCTCAAACTCTTTGTTACCAGTTGCAGATACAGTTTTCATTGCTGTATGTGTGATTATAAATTGCAAATATATATATATATGCAATATGTCTTTTACAAGTATATAACATGTTGCTCTTAAAAATCAAAAGAAAACTTGGTGCCTTTTACACTAAGATTGACTTGAGAGGTGATCTGGTGTCATTCCGTGATGTGATCTGAACATTTCTTTATCTGCTAAGTACAAATAGCCACACTTTTACACACTGCGATATAATCACTATTACCTCATGAAGTGCAGGTGTAAACACAGCTGCTCTGCTGCACTAGAACTTCATAATGTGACATGGAAAAGGGTGAAAATGTGGTCATTAGTCTTTTTTCTTTACTGATATTTGTATTTATGTAAAAAGAAAAAAACCCAAAAACATTAATGTATGACAGGTGTGACATAGTGCCACACCTGGGGAGTACAGACAAATTACAGTATAGCTGTTTTAAGTAATTTAGAATTTATTGCTTCTTGTAGCTAATTAGGGAGTGATGGGCACCTCTGTAGCTTTTACAGTGCACTATGAGCCAAGCAAGATTTTTATCACAGTGAAATTTAAGTTTAGCTATTACTGCAGCAGTAAATTTTTATATGTGTGTGTGTGTATACATGTACATGTGTGTATATATATATGTGTGTATATACACATATATATATATATATATATATGTAGTACTCTTGCAAAAGTACTTCGGAAACTTAGCAGCCCTGGAGAGAAGTTCCATTCCCTCCTTAGCTATAGTGGTTTGGGTCATGAAAAGTGAATGGACATTTATTTGCTCAAGGAGAAGGTACTGCCATACAATATCAGTGTGCAATTTGGACAGCAATAGTGTCACTTCATCTTTTGAAGTATTTTATACCTGTAGTTCTTAAGAAGCTCACAGGTGAACTTAAATTTCGAGATTATCCTCCATATTTCCTAGATCTGCTCTTGATCTCTGTGTATTGCACCAAACTGCTTCTTAAATGTTAATTCCTTGTTGTTTTATTTCTTGGGGATACTAATATGGCCATGACCACAAAAAAAGGTGCTTGTCTAGCAATTAGTGCAATAAGTGTTCCACAAAACATTGTGTCAATTTGGTGTAGATGAACCAAATCCCAAGCAATGATGTTTCTGGATTTTGCCCTAACTGAACAAACATTTTGAGTTCAGCTTTCAGCCTAACAAGGTGCAGAGTAGGGTACAAAGAAGAGGTTTTGAGAGGGTTATGAACAATATCTTTGACATTTTAACTTTTCCAGAATATGTTTATGTTTCCTCAGCCCTGATGTTAATTTTCAGTAGCAAAAGTGGGAGGAGAACAGGATGCATGACTAGTTGAAAGGTTTTTGCCATCTTGTTATTAAGTAAACAGAACTAGACTGTTCTGGTGCCAGTGGTTTTCTTTCTAGATGGTCTAGAAAAGAATATTTCTGTTACTATAGGACACGAGACAACACTATGCAGACACGCTGCTTCTCTCAAGGCAGGAAAAAAGGAAGTTTATTTTCTGACTCCAACATTTATAGGTTTCCAAAGGTGACAGTGGATTAGAGGGTGAAAGTGCCACCTCTCCAATGACACTGGACAAACCAACAGTTCATTAAGTTTCTTTTCCTTCATAAAAGAATGTAAAACAATAAGTTGTTTACAGAAAGTGTGTGAGAAAGATTGCTACAAGAATGCAAACATCAGAAGGCTTAGAAAATCTTAAAAAAACAGGGCGACATATTTCCATGTTTCATTTGAGAGGGATGATCTGTTTGCTTCAGCTTTTCTATAAGAAGCAGGTTAGCTAAGTGTGCAATGTGTAATCTGCTGTTCACACAGAGAAAATGTTTAACTTTAATATCCAAAATGGAATAGAATAAAATCCTATACAGTTTAGAACATTAAGCATCAAGTTGGCAAAATGGAGACTCTCAAAGTTTTCCTGCAATTATAAAGTCAGCACTTGTAATAATCATCATCATTTGCTCTTGAAAATTGTCCCAGGATCTCTAATCATTGTCAAGCATTTTCCTGGCAAGTTGTATCTGCAGTGAAATAAAAAGAAAATGTTTATCACATTTTCAGAAAGGCCAATCCTAATAAGATTTTAATAAATGCTCTTTGAGGTCCTGGGTTTAGGTGTGTGGGGGGGGGCTTGCACAAGGTACCCAGACAGCTTGATTGTTTCAATCAGAAGGCCAGAAGAGTAGGAAAATATATATATGCCATATTTTCACTGAATTCATACCAGACTTTTAAAATATGTAAGTTTTCATATTTTTATGTGCTTTTTCGGGAATATACTTTAGAGGAAGGAATCACTACTTGCTTCTGTGCACTTGTGCTGGTTTTTGCCCATTATAACTATGCAGATTAGCTGAAGGTTTACGGTTTTTTCTTCCTATTTTGTATTAGAGGTGAAGGATGCAGACCTGGGAGTTTGGGGATGCCTCAGACTGGCCTGCTGGTGTACTCAGAGTCTGGAGTTAATTGCATCAAAACCTCTGCATTCAACCCTCTGCTGAGGTGATCTTCGTAGTAATACCTATAAATCATAGTGTGTATATTTATTTTTTTTTAATTAATCATAACTGAAACCTAAATTGGAAACAAATAGTGTTCAGAGTTAAGGTCTCTAATCTCCAGTTACGCATAGAGCAGCATTTGAAAAGGCATTATGTGTAACAGGGTTCAAATTCCCCAGGCACACAAATCCATTTAGGATCTTTTGAGGAGCAGAATTTCATATTCAAGGCACTGCTGTCCTCTTTAAGAAAGTGAAAGTTCCAAGAATTTTTTCAAAATCTAATTTCTACTCAATTATGTAAATATAAGTTTAGGAATTGAATTTGAAAAACACACCTTGTGTTATAACTGTTTTTTTCCTCCATAAATGAAAGAAGTGATGATTCTTAAGACATTTTTGCCAGTTCTACTCACTGACAGCCCAATATGAGGAAGCTCAAAATAGACTTGGCCCTTGAACTTTTTAAAAAGAAGGAAAAAAGTAAAGGAGCCACCCAGGACTGGGATATAGCCTCTGATCTCTTCATACACCATGTGGTGCAGCTGTCCCCAATTCCAGTGCTCAGTTTAGAAGTTGGGACATAGATCCTGTGGCCAGTACCAGGGATGCACCAACAAGCTCTGAAAAAGTGGTTTGCTTAAAAACAGTATCAAGAGTTCAAGAAAAAAGTTAGTTTTGGAGAGGGTTGGTGGGTTTGTTTCCTCTGTGTAAAATGAATAGGATAATATTTAAGATTGTGATGCAAGTATACTCAGTACCACCTTTTGGGAGCTGTGCTGTATCTCAGTATGAATATTATTGTTCACCCCATTTTTTTGGTATCTGTGGTCTGTATTTTTTGTACAGCATTTGGTATACCAGGAGAAGGGCTGTCTTTAAAGTCTGGGATCAAGAATCAGAAAACACTGGCTTCCAACAATGTTTTAAATTTAAGGATAAATTTCCAATGGATAGTTCTAAGATCTCAAGATTTTCCTTTAGTAGGTGCATTGTTTATAAGGATGGAAACTTGAAATCAAGCAAGCAATTATTGTTCTGTAAATGGGATGTTATTCTGCTTTAAAAGAAACCCAAACAATTTTTTTAAAAAATTAAATTAGCTAAAATTATCCATTCTGCACACATAATATCAGACTTTTCTCTTAGTAGTTTTTATCTCCCCTGCATCATAATTATCTGAATAAATGCTGTAACATTTT